AAGCCTCACAGACTATGTGACAATTAAGCAATGTCTTAAAGTGACAGAACAAACTTTATGGCTATCTGGGGGCACTGCAGTCCATGCAAAACAAATAGTCTCATGTACCAGAGGCAGAAGAAAGCATAACATGCTGGAGAAATAGCAAGCAGGCCAGCGTGTGTGTAGCTGTGTAAGCGACAGAGAAAGCAGTAGAATATGATGACAGAAGCTACCAGGAGAGGGGATATCATCTAGAGTCTTGTAGGCCATGGTATGACTTTGGCTTTCACTGTATGAGTCTATGGAAGTATTTGAGCAAACATTAACATGATCTAGTTTATGTTTTCTTATTAAAACATCATACACAAAAATATATATAAGACTGAATTATTATTGTTACTCTTTTAACTATTTCCTTTGATATATAGAAGATTTTCAGTTTTTTATTGTTTTTTTATTAAATTATAACTTTGTACATTGATGCATTTATGGGGTTCAGGGTTCTGCTTTGATATACAATGTGAAATGTTTACATTGAACAAAGTAACACATCCATCACAATTATACTCATTTCTTAATAGTTTTGAAATCTACCATTGTATCATTCACATTAGGTGAGGTCCCCCCAAATGCCCTCCCTCCTTCCATATGCCCCCTCCCCTCCCCTCTCTCTCCTCTTCTCTTCTACTTTCTGGACTATAGTTATGTTTTGCCATATGTTTCGTATGAGTGTGTCAGTGGTTATATATTGATTTCATACTAGTATTGAGTACGTTGGATACTTTTTTTCATTCTTGGATACTTTACTAAGAAGAATGTGTTCCAGCTCCATCTAGGTAAACATAAAAGATGTGAAGTCTCCATCTTTTTTATGGCTGCATATTATTCCTTGGTGTACATAAGGAAGATATCAAGTTGTTCATATCCATTAGGGTCTGCTTTATGAATTGAGGAGCATTCTGGTAGGGTGCATAAATGTTAATTATTGAAATCTCTTCATGTTGGGTGTTTCCCTTGACAAATATGTAGTGACCTTCCTTATCTTTCTTTATCTTTGTTGGTTTAAAGCTAATTGTACCTGCTACTAAATTGCAACCCCTGCTTTTTTCTGGTTTCCATTTGCCTGTATTATACAAGTCCATCCCTTCACCCTGAGTCTACTTTTATCCTTTAAGATAAGGCAATATTCTTGTATATAGCAGATATCCAATCTGAGTTTATGTATCCAGTGAGCCAGCCTGTGCCTCTTTAGAGGACAATTTAAACCATTCACATTAATTTAGAGAATTGATAAGCCTGGTTGTGTTTTGGCTATCATGATTTTCAGATGTCCAGTGGACAATTTTAATCCTTTCACCACTGTGGAAGTTGAGTTTTGTTCAAAAAATTTCTGGATGAGTTTACTTTGGAGGTATAGCATTGCACTGGTCATTGTGGAGGATGGATCTGAGGACATCCTGGAGAGCTGGTTTAGGTATGGTAAATTTCTTCAACATGTCATTAAAATATTTGATTTCTCCATTGCAAATGAAACTCAGTTTAGCTGGATAGAGGATCCTGGGCTGCAAGTTGTTTTGTTTTCAGAGACTAAAATTTGATGACCATCTTCTTCTGGCTTGAAACCCACACTCTACCTGCAGGCCTCAGTCCTCACCTCGTAAGCCTCTGCTCACCAGCCCCGCTGGAGGTAGTGGAGCACATCCTAGCCCTCAGGTTTTGGTTCACACCCAGTAAGCTACTGCTCAGGGGTTCTGTTGGAATCAGGAGACCACGCCCTTGCTCTCAGGTTGCAGTCCATGCCTATCCAGCTTCTGCTTGTATGCCCAGCAGGACCTGGGGACCAGCCCTGTCTGCCAAACTCAGTCCACGCAGGGCAACCACTCTCCTGCTGTGGGTGCCATCAGAGCCAGGGGCTCTGCACGCAATCCTGCCAGACACAGCCCGAACCAAGAATCCGCACTACTACTCGCTGGGCATAGTCATAACCAGGGGACTGCTCCTCCTCCCACCAAGTATCCCTTTATCCTACACCCTCTCTTTCTTCCCCGTTAGTCACAGATTCTGTCCTGATGGTTGACAGTCCACACTATGCCCAGGTCTCTCAGGACAAGACCAAACACTCTATGCTCTGCATTGGGCAGAACTTCAGACCACTACGCATCAGGGAATGGGTGGACTGGGAGTTTGGACTTGTGGGGAAAAATATCTGATCAATTTTATGCCTGGTGGGGTGGTGCCTAGGTTCATAAGTAGGACCTCCCTGGAGAAAGAGACTTGGAGTTTAGCAGCTCTCTTCAGTGAGGTAAAATGAAAGGTCTATTGTTCTCTGCTTATTCACATATAGTCTGAGGCAGGCCTCCTGCTTGGGTGAGGGGTCTCCTGTCCTCTAGTCAATAGGCTATCTACCTGTAATTTGTTTTCTTGAATGCTCTTTCTTGAATTTACAGCTTGCCAAACTTCTTTCTTGGCTCAGCTCCTAGTCTTTGGCTTCATATAGTCCAATTATGTCCAGTTTTTCTTCCTCTGCTCAGGAGCCTCTGACAAGAGTTGCTATCAGTCAGCCGTCTTCCCAGAATTCTACAGAAGATTTTCATTTTGTTATAATCTCATTTATTTATTTTTGGTTTTGGTGCTTGCACTTTTGGAGTCAAATCCAGCAAGTCATTTCCAAGACCAATGGCATGTACTTCTTCCTCTGTGTTTTCTTCTAAAGGAAAACAGTTTCTGGTCTTATACTTAACCCTTTGATTGATTGTAAGTTAGTTGATTTTTGTATATTGTGTGAGATAGAAGTCCAATTTCATTATTTTACCTATGGATATCCAGTTTTCCCAATACCACTTATTCAAGAGTCTAGTCTTTTCCATTGTATATTCTTGTTATCTTTGTTAAAGATCAATTGACTGTACATGCATGGATTCTTTTCTGAGCTTTGGGCTCTCTGATCATTGTTTATGTCTCCACCTCAAACTTCTTTAAATCTGACTTTCCTGTCTGTTATTTTCTTTTTCTTCTGTAGGAGTAGGGGTGGCTCATAACTATGAAGCTTTTTGCAACAGTTATTAGTCTACACATATCCTTATCTTGCATAGCAAGGTATTTCTCTCAATATACAAAGCAGACAACTAGTTCCTCCCAAGTCACTGCTTTATGAGGATGTTCTCCACCACCACATTCTATGGGCACCCTGAGAGGGGCTAAGGTGCAGCAGTAGTCATTTCTTTCCTTGCAAGAGGTACCCATTTATATTTTGACAACCCTGTAACACAAGCCTGAGGGTCTTCCCTCTTTTGTCAGCTGGTTGTATGAAACCTGCTTACTTATGAACTGAAAAAGAGATGTTAGAACAACAAAGGCCCATCTATGTCTTAAGCAAATGCTTTTTAATGTATCAAATAACTTTCAATTCTTTCTATTACATGGCAGCAAGCTTAATGTGAGATAGAATTTAAGATACATGAGAAAAGTTTGCTTACTAATGAAAGTATTTACAAATGTGGGCGCTGGACACATTTATTACAATTGGCATACTTTATTAAAAATAATTATTTCTCAGTCCTTCACTCTATCTCAAAAAGAAGAAAAAAAGAAAGATGAATGAAACTGGAATGATCAAGTGAAACTGAGAGTTAAATTGATCAGTACTTTAAAGATCAGAGCCTACCACTGAAGTTAATGTAGATAAAATTTTAAATTGTTTATATTTTCTTCCCATATATAGTAGTTCTTCAGCCAATTGCTTAAAACTGTTTGATTGACATTTTCCATATGAATTAAAATAAAACAACCATCTTTTCTCCACAAAACGTAGCATCAACCTTTCCTTTCAAATCCAGAAAATATTTCCAACCCACATTATTTCTTTTTTTTGAATTGAGACAAAGAGTCTCACTTTTTGCTCTCCATAGAGTGCTTTGACATCATAGCTCACAGCAACCTCAAACTCTTGGGCTCAAGCAATTCTCTTTCCTCAGGCTCCCTAGTAGCTGGGACTATACCACCCATCACAATGCCCTGCTATTTGTTATTGTTGTTGTTGTTAATTAGCAGGCCCAGGCTAAACCTGAACCCACCAGCCCTGGTGCATGTGGCTGGTGCCCAGCCAGGCAACCCAGTTTCTAGATGACAGGAAACCTAACTGATAGTGCCTCTCACTTTGTGAAGCCAATAACTTTGAAGGCTACAAATTAAAATTATATAAATTACATTTTATAATGTGATTCCTCTTCATTATGTTTTTGAGAGTCATCCTTGAAAAATGTGGCCACAGAAAAAAACAAAAATCATAATTAAAACAACTATGCTAATCAAATATTTATAGAAATAATTTTAAGCATGCTATGGCAGTACTCAAATAAGTCACTCAATAGTAACACTAATCCAATTATGGTACAAGGAATTGTGTTGAAACTGAGTTACCATAAAGCAAGTATACTCCAAGGAATGCTCATGTCTTTTTAATAGTATTTTGATCTTGCCAGTAACTAAAAACACTTTATATTTTTAATTGTTGTTCACTCTGTGAACAATTATTTATTATCCAGCTAAGGCTATGTCAACAAAGTAAGGCCATCTACTGAAGTCTAGCAAGGTGGAATTCTTAAAACTTGTCTCTTCTGTTTCAGTCAATATCTCCCAGTGGAGAATTACTGGCTTACAGTGTTAATCACCAGAGCAGTCTATGGTCTCCGTTGCACTTGTGTTAGTTGTTTCAGCTCTATAATACAAAGCAGACTTCCGTCTTCTTTTGAAAAACTGAATTACATGGAGAGGGTATAATTAGTTTAGAAAAATCTTTACTTACTTGATATTATCTTTGACACAAAATTTAAGTCACTATTGAAACATTCTTCTTAAATAAGATCATGGTATTGCATCTTGTGGTGAGTGGCATTTAAGATGATAGTGAATTCTCATTCTACTAGTTTCTTAATAAAACTTAGGAAATTTGTAGACAAGTGTGTCACTCATGGCTTATTCAGGCAAGTTGCATTTGATAGATGGAATTTGACTTTCATTTATCTTTTATGAACACTTTCTCTGGTCTTGAAGATTTTCACCAGAGCATGCTTCATCTCCTTGTTCCTGAGACTGTATATTAGGGGATTGAACAAAGGTGTTATTGCAGAATAAAACAGGGTAATGATTTTTTGCATTTTAGCTGGGTGTCCTGATTTAGGACTAACATACATCACAAAAATAGAGCCATAAAACAGGGTGACAACTGCCAGATGAGAAGCACAAGTGGTGAAAGCCTTTCGTTTGCCAGCCTCTGAGGTCATCCTCACCACAGCCAGAATCACTAGAGCATAAGAACAAAGGATAAAGAGAAAGGTGCCAATCATAAAAATATAATTGAAAGTGGAATAAATGAGCTGGGTGGTGACGTCTTTAGAACAGGACAACATCATCAGTGGAACAGGATCACACACAAAATGGTTGATGACATTTGGGCCACAGTAAGGCAACTTTGAAATGAGAACAACTGGAGTGAGGAAGACAATGAGCCCACATGACCACCCGAAGATGATAAGGCCAGTGCACAGCTGCCTGGTCATGATGCGTGGATAATGCAGAGGGCGGCAGATGGCAAGGCACCTGTCAAAGGCCATGATGCAAAGGTAGATGCCCTCATCACACCCAAAGGAGAAGAAGAAGTAGAACTGTGCAAAACAACTCACAAAGGAGATGGACTTGTTTGTGGAGAGGAAGTTGGCCAACATTTTAGGAACAGTGGTGGTGACATAACATATTTCCAGGAGAGAAAAATTTCCTAAAAGGATATACATGGGTGTGTGAAGGCGCCGGTCCCAATGCACAGCACAGGCAATGGCTGCATTGCCCATCAGGGTGAGAGTATAAACTACTGAGAAAAGCCCGAAGTAGAGGAGCTGCATTTTGGGGCTTGAGGGAAAGCCCATGAGGATAAAGTGGCTGACAGAGTTGGTAGTTTCTCTGCTGGACACATTCATTAGTCTGGAAGACAAGGGGTGCCAGTGGTCACTGAAACATAGAATAAAATGGAGCATGCTGTTTCTTCCTGAAAACACCAAAATTCATTATCACATATTTTATAAAGTATTGAACAATTAGACCTTTCTTTAACCAACAAAAATGTAATTTCTTGACTCTACTCCTGATGAGATGATATTATTTTAATAAGCACAATAACATAAAGCAGGGAAAATGTGAATCAGGGATGAATTTGTACCTAGCTACGAGCATTAGACTCAATATTAGGAATGACAATTTGTGTGTTTCTAATAAGTTACCTACTTCAATTAGTCTTCTCTTTGTTCTGCTACCCTGTATTGTTGATATAATTGTCTGTATGTGTCGTTCTTTTAACAGTACTACTAATATTTGAGTCTTTATGATTTATAAGAGTGATGTAAAAATAAAGTACTAAATCAAAGTATTTCAAAAGAATGTCAGTGTAGTTCCATGCCAGGACACAAATCAATGTCTACTTTCACTTGCATCTACTACATATTACTCAGTAAATACAAATGGCCTCTGTCTTTTGAGGAAATATGGTCTTTTCTGCTACTTTATGTATCTGTACCAATATGTAGTATAAATAATACATCCTGTCTTTGTTTAGGCAGGTGGATGCTCTGTACATTATGAAGAGGGGAGGCATAGTTTGAGCTATAAATTGGTCTAGCCAAATATTTTGATACACTTCCTAGTAGATAGATGAACTAGATATGCCCACTACAGCAACTGACCTTAGCAAAATCAGCTGGTCCAAGTGACTCTGGCCAAGTTCAGTGTGCTTCTACCTGTTAGGCATAGTTAAGTTGGCTGTAGAAAAAATGAAAGGCAGATAGAATATGTATTTTTCTGAGAGTTCCCTTATTCTTGTATTCACTGTTCCACCATCCTTGCATGTTCTCTTTCTCCTTTTGGGGCAGACTTTGGTATCTCACTGTGATGACCAACTCAGTAAACTTTTTCCATCTAAATGAATCTGAAATGTGGAACTTTTCACTATTCTCTCTTCAGTCCCTTCTACCCCAAGTAACAATAATAAAAATAAGAAATACTGATATAAGAAGAATATATTCATTACTTAAAGAAATCAAATCATTCTTATAATATGAAAGGTTAGTAATCTAATAGAACGTAGAATCAACAACTGGGCTTGAGAGATTAAATATCTCTGTGAAGAGGGACCTGTCATATTTCTTCTACTTACTAAGTAACAAAAATCTTCAAAATACACCCTTCTCTAGCAATTCATCATGTAATGTATATCTTTACTAGAAATCATAAGCCTTTTTTAAAATATCACAGTCATCTTTTAAAGAGATTAGAAAACCAATTATAAAATATCCTCCAGAACTCAAGAAATGTATTAATATTTTTCAGTTCTATTCTCTGCCAACATTTTATTCTGACATATAACTTTAGTTTTCTTAAAGACAAGAAGAAAACATTTTCTATTAAATCATTTTTGAAATCAATTTAGTACATGTGGCTCACTTGTTATGCACTTCCCACTTACTCCTTGGATGAAGTCTGAGAAGGTCAGAGACAGGATGTAAAATGTTATTCCATGGAGGAAAAGCCATGTTAGGGATTTCTAAAAAATTATAGAATCCTCTTTGTAATCTCTTATGTGTTAAAAGAGTGAACCCTAAAATACTTTTCCCTTCTTCGAAGCACATGTATATAATAAAATTTATTTGCAGAAGGGATTATGTATTTACTTGCATCACAGCCTTTTGGGATTCAGAGCTTTCTCTTGATGATTTGATGGTATTTAATGTTTGTTAAAAAGAGGATATCATATGGGAATTTTCATTTACAATGAAAGACTAGTTATTACTATTCCCCAGAGAACAGTGACCATGCAGAATTAGATTCTATCATTTCTTTCTTCTCTTGTGCTCGTTATTGTTAAACTTCTGGAAAATAATTCAGTAACAAGATGAATTGTTATAATAGCTATAATAGGAAGGTTTACCTTAAAGCTACCTATATCTATTTTGAAGAAAAGGAAATAATTCTTTGCCCACCAACTATCTGTGACTGTAGAGTTGTTAGAAACACTTGAATTAAATTTTATATAGAGCACAAACAATTCCAGTCCAAGGAATTTAATTGGCATTTAGCCATTCCCCAAATATTTATTCAGTGTGTACTATGTGCCAAACACTATTGCAGATCTTGAGGATATTGTAGAAAACAACTCCCAAACTCCTGCCTTCACTGTACTGAAGATGAAATAAATAACATAAATAAGATAATTGCATAGATAACAATAAATAACATAAATAAGATATTTGTATGCAGAAGGGGGCAGAGGCAAGATGGCAGACTACAGCCAGTTTTCCATAGAGGCTCCTGTGCCAAAGGAGAGTTAAAAGACAGAAGTATAGCAAGTAAGCTGATGGTTTGAAGCTGAGCCAAGAGAGAAGGTTGAAGAACACACATCAACCCTGCTGAGGTGAGCTGCGACCCCAAGAATACAAACAAAAGGTATTAAATCCATCGCCAAGCAGATGTGAGTCCCCTCCCCCATGAGAAGAGCTCACAGTATACTCCATACAAACAAGCGAGCAGATTTCAAACATCCTCCCATTCTATCCCATGGGAGAGACCCTCTAAAAACTCTCCTGCCAGGCACCAAACTGTATAAATCTGTATTTATTCTCTACCTGCAATTCTGAATCCCCAGCACTCCCCTCCACTCTTCCCCAAGGTCTGGAAGCCTGTCCCCCAGGGAGTCCATATTCTTGGGCATTTTCTTGAGAGGTGTGGATTGGGCAGAGGCTGTTTCTGGTCTATGCTGATTCTGTGGCACAGGAGTAAGGACAGTCAGCTGAGAGGGAACTGCGGTGCCTCGAGGTGCAGAGCAGCAGCGGTGGTGGGAACAATAAGGCTCATATCCCTAGGGTTATCCTAGACAGACATGCCCTGTTTCTCTGGGCAACCAGGGGAAGCCGGGAATCTTCTTTGGAGGCAGCCACTGGCGGAATGGATGGGAAGTACAGGCCCAGTGAGTAAAGCAGATGCGTCAGGTGGTAGCAGCCTGGGCAGAGCGTGGAGACTAGAATATGGGCACGCAGAGCTGGCAGACTCCCAGGGCAGAGCTGATCCAGAGGACTGCTTTACTGAGCCTAAGATGCACCCAGCCCTCAGGAGATCATAGCTGAGACAAAGGTGGCCAGACAGAGGCTGGAACTGACAGCTCAGTGTGAGGTCTAATTGCTTGCCACTGCATGGGACTCAGTCACCTTTTCTGTCAACTCAAGCAGCATCTGATCCACAGGGGAATATAGCCAGGACAGAAACAATTCCTACAAAGTTGTTCTGTCCTGTTCTGCCAGCAACATCAATTAGGGGTGGGGCTGGAACTGAGTGAACCACCCCAGCCTCCATTAAGCACCTGAGGTTGTCAGGCCCCACATCTCCCTGCTGGATAGTGGCAGAGAGCAGTGGCCTGGCTCAGTACACATAGATCTCCCTGTGATTCAGGCAGTCATAAACCCCTGGAGCATCTGCTCATTGGAGGGAACTGGGTCACAGCCCTGTGGGGTTACTAGTGACTGGATGTGACAGAGGTGCAAGGTGGGGAAGGTGGTATCAACTTTCCCAGACTAATTTATGTGCTGGGTGGGTTCCTCTGACTTCACAGAGTACTGCAGCAAGTCATACTTGAGCTGTCAGCAGACCCCTGCTATCTAGTTGCTGGAGACCTTTTGAACTCTCCCACCTGAGACTGATGCTGACTGGGACAATTGATTTGGACCTCTCAAACTGGGCCAATCACCTGAGGACTATCCAAGTGGTACACTGGGTGTGTGGTTGTGGGAAGGTGTGAATTTCTCTTTCCAATTGTTGCCTGTGGGGCATGGGGTGACTTAATTGCTGGTATTTCTCCACAGCTGAGACTTCAACCCAGACTAACTGATTTACTAGGGTAGAATAGAGACAGCAAAAAACAAGATAGAGTGACTTAGCCCCACCAAACCAAGGAGGCCCCCAGTTTCTGAGGCCACAGCACTGTATGGGTCCTTGGCAAAGCTCTAGGAGAAAAGGTACACACCAGTCCTGGCCTTTGGGCAAAGGGCTAGTTAATCATTAACTCCTGGAGCCCCCAGTCCAACTTATCCTTATCTGCTCATCTAGCCAAACAGTGTTAATTAAGCAAGTGGCAGAATCAGAGGAAAAACTCTGGAAGCATGAATAACCAGAGTAGATCAAGCACCCCAAGGAAGGATTGGGCAGATGCAACTGAAGATCCCATCCATAAACAGATGGTTGAGATGTAAGAAATTGAGTTAGTCTGGATAACAAATAAGATCAACAGAATGGAGGAAAGGAGGGAATCAGAATTTCAAGGAATTATTTAAAAGATGTCTCAAGATTTCAATTATTTCAAAGATAAAATGACCAAAGATTTGGACACATTGAGGCAAGAGTTTGCAGCCCTCAAAGATCTGAAAAATATGGTAGAATTCTTCACTAACAGAAGGGACCAGGCAGAAGAAAGGATCTCTGACATTGAAGACAAAGCTTCTGAATGTGCCCAAAAACTCAAAGAGGAAGAGAAATTGTGAGAAAAAATAGATCATTCTCTCAGAGACCTCTGGGATTATTTGAAGAAAACTAATATTCACCTTATAGGGATCCCAGATGGCGACAAAGTTGCTTCACAAACGCAGAGGGTCTTCTTCATGAAATTATGAAAGAGAACTTTCCAGACATGCCAAGAGAGTCTGAAATTCAGATAGCAGGCAGTTTCAGAACTCTAGCATGACTCAACCTGAATAAGATATCCCCCAGGCACATCATAATTAACTTCACTAAAGTTAATATGAAAGAGAAAATTCTGAAAGCATCTAGATGTAAGAAAACCATAACCTACAAGGGAAAGAATATTAGAATGACTGCAGATGTCTCTGTTGAAACCTTTCAGGCTAGAATAGAATGGTCATCAACTTTTAATTTCCTAAAACAAAATAACTTTCAACCCAGAATCCTGTATCCAG